TCGAGTTAACTTCATGTTTCCAAGAACGTATCTAGGACGTTAACCGGCGCATGACTGTATTTATGGTTCTTTATTACTATTATTATTGTCATTATCAATATTATTATCGTACATTACCGCCCCCGAGGCCCCGATGTGGGTCATGGGTCAGTGACCTCTGCCCTGGTGGGCTAATCCCCGTAAAAAATAAATAAATAAATAAATAGATTGGAGTTTGGGATTGACGGTTAATCCGAAAGTCGGTTAATCGAGGTTTTACTGTATGTCAAAATATTTTGTTTATCCCTAAGCTTTGGATCACGTCCTATGACGTGCATTTGTAGAGCTTTGGATCACATCACATGACGCTTTGATCTTTCACAGGTCTACAGGCCTATTTGAATAAAAAGGGCGGACTTGTCTAGATTATGTTTCCATGTACATACGTATTTATCTTTAACTCACTCACACATGAGTGCCACTCAGTTTTCTCAGCTGCACCTCAGCTTTTGTGATGTAGGAACCTCGCCTTGGACTTTACTCACTTCAGCATGTATTTCTACATCCCCCCTCTCCAACCTTCAAGCACAAGTACGTATAGTACAGTACAGGTAACTCGTGTTTTATGCACGTTTTTGGAATAGCGCGATTGTTCAATTAATACCAAAAGTTAATTTGCGCGCACCTATTTTTTTAATAATGCTCTCAAGACAGTTTAATTTTGCCACGTGTATTCACCTGGTAGCCTGGCAGTGGAGTCACATGTGATGCCTGGTGAGGTGCTTGTAAGTTATTACTATAAAGTCACATTCATATCAACATCAACAATTTTAATATTATTGTTAATAATAATAATTATTATAATAATGTAATAATAAAGATTATTACTACTAATGATGATGATGATGAAGATAATGAAGTATTCTGTACAACAACAGTGACGACGTCCAGCAAGCTTCTCGCGTATCGCTTTCTCAGTTCACATCCGCACTACTTTTTCTCTGTGCTTTCATTTGCATTGTGTGTTTATCACATACCTTTTTAGTATTAAATGCTGTTTCCCTCATTGAGCATGTCTGAAAAACATTCATCTGCCTTCTCTGGGGCACCTAAAGCTAAAAAGGCACTAAAAACAATTGCAATGGATGTGAAATTAAATGTGAGAGGAGAGCGTGTGTTGGAGGTTGGCCGTGTGCTTGGTTTACAGTAAGAGAAAGCACTGATCGTACCCTGTGCGGTATATGATGTTTCCCTTAACCTGTACCATTTACATGTATTCGTATGGGAAAATTATATTTAATTTACGCGTTTTTTAATTAAGCGGTGGTTTTCAAGAACGTAACCCCCCGCGTAAAACGAGAGGTGGGTGTATTGTGATCAATTATTGGAGCAATAATAATGATTGTTATTAGTGTAAATAGTAATAATATAGTAAAACAAGTGTCCTGTACCTCATACTGCCTACAAATTAGTGTTGTGGAAAATTTATTGATCATTATGGTACCAAATTCATCTCTCTTAACTTAATTAGAACAGATGTGAGTAATAAAAGTTTATACACTTTCGCTAGTCGTAAATATATTTGCTCGCAGCTTCATGCTTCAAAAGTATCTTTTTTGATGACCCATATCATAGATATTTTATTTTATTTGACCAAACTTTTAAATATATTTTTCAGGATTATTTTAGTAAAGTGGTATTTCTAATTTTATTAGAACTGATTTGTGGACTCCAGTATACTGTAAACATATGTTATATCGTGTCAAAATGTTATGTTTAAGGAACTTTAATTGAAACAGTCTTGCAGCGAATTTATTTAGGATCATTATTGTATCAAGTTCAGCTCTCTAAAACAATTAGAACAGATGCTCTAAATGAAAGCTTAGATACTTTTTTGCTACCTGTAAATATTTTCCCTCATGCCTGCGGCCTAAATGTAATATGAGAGTGTTTGTCCATCCCAGATAAGAATTGGTGGTGCGTAATTTAGATTCGATAATAGATGCTTAGTTTAGACTCTTGGAAAACTTTCCCCATCATCCAGGGATGTGGCATAGTGTCTTTCCAGGCGAGATATATAGTTTAGACTCTCCCAAACTTTTCCCGGTACAGTAAGTCCCCATTGAACGTTAATCCTTTGAATAAATCCACACTAAAACAAAAGCAAGTTTTACTACCCATTTGGCGATTAACAAAAGAATGTTCTACTATTACGAGAGGTAAATCACCTCAACCTATCTGCTTTCTCACCACCAGCTCCATGATCACCCACCACCATCACCACCACTACCTCTATTACCACCACCTAAATCATAATTTCACCTCCCTCCCTCCCTCCCACTGCTCTCACCGACACTGCCTCTCTCACTCATTATATGACTGTCATTCATGATAGTACAATATTTTACAATACTGTACATTGTTTATTTGTTATTCTCATTCCATATTTTAAAATTTATGTAACATAATGTAGAATTAATACGACTGTAATCGCCCATAAGGCAATCATGCGATCACAGGATAAAGAGACCGAGCACGTGGACACCAAGAATATAATTCGGTCAAAACCTATCAACAAAAATTATTACACGTAAGTAAACATCATTTGGTATCACAATAATACAACTACAGTGGAATATTGTCAACTACAATTATTACACACAAATAAACATCATTTTGATATCACAATAACACACCTACAGTGGGATATTCTGCACATTCCTTAACAATGTGAACTTACATTAATACAATGGTGGGATCTCATGTATGCACTAATGTTCCAAAAACAGACTTATGTGTTAGGGTCTTAAGGAGAGATAGGGGTGTTCCCTGTACGGCTCCAAAGCGTTTACTGACCCTCACAGCAGAGGGAACTACCGGGGCACCGGGCGCCATCTTGTTCTTATTAACAGATCAGCAAATTCCAGCATCTCCCCCTTCTGTAAACACATACCCGGCACCTCCACTAACTACACACTCACTACCTCTCTCTCCACCTTCACTACTCAGAAACCGCCAAAACTTAAATATCTCCTGGTTCTTCTCATGAGCGGTAACAACGACGTTTATCATTTATGCTTACACTCAATTTTGTGGGTTGACAAAATTGTTCGTAAGTCGAAAAGGCGAAAATATTACAGTACATAGAAATTCTAAAATGAAATGCGGTACAGTAAAAGTAATCAATAATGAAAAATGAATAAAGTTTTACTGTGCACTTACCTTTAATGTAGTCAGCTGAATGCACACGGGGCTCAATAATTTTTTAATTAAGCATGTAGACTTCATTAATTGGATGAAGCAGAGGAGGAGACAGATCTGGGCGGGTCATCAAGTTCGCTTTCTTCAGACAGCTATCGTATGGCGTCACATTACGACCAAACGTCGGGACTCGAAAATACGTAATGTGAAAAATATTTTATACGACCGTGGCCGTCATATGTCCGAGTTGTCGTTAGTCGAGGAGAGACTGTTCTATGGTTGGAGGAATAAGTGATGTGATGTGCAGTAGTTAGTTCAATACAGATAATATTGATAGGGATAACCTATTCCATAGAAGATTGGATCATCTGAAATAAATTTATATAATTTATCTATATTTTTTGGTTACAGGTATTATCATATTAATTTGAATCCTATTGATAATAATTTTTACTTCTGCTATTTTTTATTTTATTTATTTATTTATTTATTTATTATTTTTTTTTTTTAGGAGCCCAGAGGTATTGGAAATCAAGGACTACACATCACCAATCACATCAAGTGGAATAGCATCTCCAACACTTTTTCCTGCGAGTTTGGCAACACCCCCACTCCCTCCTGACTCACCAGAATATATTCCACCTCCTCCTTGTGATGACATCTCCATGTGTTCTCCCTGTGACGACGTCTCCGTGTGTTCTCCCTGCGACGACATTTCTGCATGTTTACCCTTGACTGACAGACCCATGACCAGTATACTGCCCAGTGAAAGTGACGTCCCAACCACTCCTCCTCTTCCTGAAGAGATTCCCACTCTGCCACCACTCCCAAGTGAAGATATACCTAGTGCTCCTCCTCTTCCCGATGGTGAAATTCCACCCACTCCCCCACTCCCTGATGATGACATTCCTCGTACCCCTCCACTTCCATATGAAGATTTTCCAGTCACTCCTCCTCTGCCAAGTGAAGATGTACCATCAACTCCTCCATTGCCAATGTCAAGAAGTTCAACCACACCACCCCTACCAAATGAAGATGTATCTCTAACTCTTCCATATTCTGGTTCTTTGTTACCACCACCTCCACCACCACCACAACTATTGTTTTCATCTGAATTTAATAATGACTCGGACAGATTAACTCCGCCTCCACTCGGCGTCCAAAAACCAGTTGTCTCGTCAGCATCTTTACCTACTGTCATATCTTCTGAATCTCTAAATGTGTGGAAAGGCATCATTCACATGCCAGATGTTGCCAAGTTCCATGCATCTGCATTTGAGGTAAGACATTTTTATATAAATGTTATGCATAATTTTAGAACTAATTTGTTTCTCCCCTATTTACCCAAAGCATAGAATATAATCTTATTGTAGGTTTTCCTTCTGTCCTATCCCTCCCAATTTATTTTTAATATTGATTTTGAGCTAAGTTATGTCATTTAGTGTTTTGCTGTGTTGCAGTCTGATATTTATTGAGGTGCCATTTAACTATATTTTAAAATTATGGCCCTTGTCATTTTATGATATCAAATGGATCTTTGCAATAATTCATGATTTAGCTACAGAAGTTAATTCATTTTTAGCTTTCAGATACTAAAAACCTACCCTTAACCTGACTAATTAGTTAGTAGGGGATTTAGGATTTTGTAAGTTTCAGGTTTTTCTTGGGAATGTTCACTGATGCATGAAAATATATAATTTTCTGCAAAAGCCATGGTCCTGTGTGTTGTAGTGCAAGAAAGAAAACTTAAAGTGCTTATGGTGGTATTAAGGAAACAGTGGAAATTCTCCAATAAGTTTATAAGGGTCTGTCACCAAGTAAATAGTATTGTCTCCAGAGAATTCTCACAATTCTGAATTTGGGAACAAATTCCATGGTTGAAAATCGGGTTCATTTTCTGAAAATTTCAAGAAAATTTCTGGAAAATCTTACTTTTATTTCTGGGTCTGGGAATAAATTTTCAGGGCATTCAGAAAGATTGCATCATGCTCCTACTCTATATTGTACCAGAAAAAATCAGCCAAGAATTCAGTGTTAAAGTGATTACAGTTATGTATACTATACTGTACATTCAGTAAGTGGGAAACACTGGAGCACCTTACCTTTTGTCTTTATTCAAGACATCTTCAGGTCATAAGACCCACTAATCCACCACCCCTACAATGGGTAACCTGATATTGCATCAGGTCAGGTCAGTAACATGACCCAGTAATCTCCCACCCAACATCCATCACAAGTGTTAAGGTGTGATTAGAGTTAAGAATTACAGTTAGCTGAGTGTACAGTGTCTGCTGGTGAGTACAGTATATGAGGCGCTCAGCATTAGAAGGGGGTGAAGCGCCAAATTTAAAAAGCTGAGAAAAACGCGTTTAAAGTTTTTCAAAGTTCAAACATCCATAACTTTGTTGTTTTTTAAGCTAGAGGGTTATTTTTTTTATCATGCAGCTCAACCCCTCTCCTAGCAAACTGTGAAACTGGAAGTTAGTACTGTGAATAGTTATTATTTTATCACGAGTTGAATGAGAATAACTACCCGTGATGTACAGTTGTTTGATCTTCAAACCAACAATAATTGCATTTTTCAGCAAAATTTTCTTATTATCGTGGGCTAATACTGTAAAACAAGTTAATGATCACAAAAAACAACACTCGTCTTACACGCACCCCCAATGAACCCCCCCACAAACCCCCCCAAAAATTAAATAATAATGAAAAACTCGTTTGCATCTTTCCATCCTTATTATTAGCCATTGATTTATAATATTGTTAAGTATAATAGTGTGTAATAATAAGGAAACACCACTACACTCATTCCCCCCACCATTAACCCCCCCCTCAATTAACATATGAATACAAAGGCGGAGAAAGTTTGCATAATCTTTGGTAAAAACAGTATTATGATAATAATATTACAATTTTACTATGTATAACTTTAATGGCCTCGTCATAATCAAATTATGTTTAAACTTGGCAACCTCCTGTGCCCACTAGTCAACCCTACGTTGTCTCATCCTGCCATTTTTTTCTATAGGGCCTTGGAGTGTACGCTCCTGACCCCTGCAATCTGCATCACGTGGTGCTCCACCACCACCACTATACTAGGTTCCCCAACATTACCAAGTAGCTCATCACCAATATTCTCACACACATCACCTGCTGCATCGCCAATAGCTCTTGCATCACCATAATCACCACTAAATTCACCACCAAAATCGCTATCACCGAGCATGGCTGGGATGTCCACGTGAGCACTGTCGTCACTAAACACATGCTCAGGAATAATGGGCTCCTGAACCCACACCAGAAGGCCTGGTCTCACTCAGGTCTTGCTCTAAAATTGGGCAGATATTGCACAGTACTTCTCACACCCATAGAACACGAATAACGTCAGTGTTATGCCGAAAAGTTATCAAAATTGCAGTAGAAAACACTGAACCACCTAATGCTATACAACGCGCCAAAACTAACAAGGAGGCATCATCTGGGCGCGCGGATTGGCCGAGAAGCTGTGAGGTCGCAAGGGAAATCCTTTGTGATTGGCTGACTCTGGGGTATGGTCCGCGGGAGGCACGCTGTCATTGGCTCGCTCTCCTCTCACTCTGAACGGGATGTAGCCACCTTCTTTGACAGAGCACACAGCCAGATACATAGCTCCCGGCCTGAGGCGAAATGACACCTTATTTTTGAAGGACTTAAAACCATATTTCTATTCTAGCTAGGGGGTTACATCCAACACCAACATGTAGAGGAAGGGTGAAAATAGTGATATCCACCAAAGAACACATTTTGCCCACGGTGTCGCTTCACCCCCTTCTAATGCTGAGCACCTCATATACAGTATACTACTGTAGTAGTACAATAGTATACATTATTTTGTTTACGGTATGAACAATCCTGAACAGTGGTGTTTGCATAACTAAATACAGCTCCTGGAAATTTTCCTGTGAAACATGGAAAATACCACTTGTTTTTGCTGTAACACACTGCTCCATTCATGCCCATATCACATAGATATTTGTTTTTTTAAATATATTTATTTAACCAAACCCTTAAAGTACTCAGGATTATTTGGGTAAAACAATAGTGTGTCTATCTTAGGTAGTAGGCCGCTATCAAACAGGGAGGTACTACCACCTGGGAAGATATTGTAAGCATAATGTGTTGTCTAGTGGTAGACCTTAGCTGCCACTTGGCATCACAAAAATTTTGACCACGTCCCAGGTTGCTGATCTGTCTTTCTGCATCTTTTACACACAATTGCAGGGTTTCAATTGTCTCTCTTACTATTGACAACACAACATATATAACCTTTCTCACTCTTGATCTGTTCTATTCTTTCTATTCTTTTATTCACCTACAATATCAGTTGACAATAATATTAAAGCGGGGCATTCTTGGATGGGTCTCACTAGTCGGGTCTCAGCTAACGTCACTGTGGTTGCTGGAGGATCGGCATTTTTCACACTTAATTTTTCCAACATTCGTGGCCTGAGATTCAATTTTCCTTCTATTAACCTCTTTCCCCGACCTCTTACTAATATCTGAACTTCAACTGACTAAACCAGCTTCACCCAAACCTTTTCAAGTATCCAACTACAACCTTTATACCTCTTTCCGTTCTAAGGGAGGTATAGGCGCCTACTGCAACACACATTCACCTATAGCTTAACTCATGGATCTTGAATTTTCTCTTTATGATGTCATCTGGCTCAAAATATCTCTCACAACTATGACTATTTTTCTTTGTTTCGTATACTGTTCTCCCAACTCTGCCAACTATTTGGAACTCTTTGACTATCTCACTTCTTGCCATGAGTCAGTGCTATCCACACACCCCAACACCAAGATCCTCTACCTAGGGGATTTCAATGTACTGTACATCCCAGAGAGTGGCTTGGCTCTGCAAGGGATGACCCTATTGCCCACTAATCTTTCATTACTTCTAGGAATCGTTGTAAGGCTATTCTTTGTAGGGCCAAGCGGAATTTTATAAAAAAGAAAGACCGCTGTCCTGACTAACTCTTCTTCTAGTAAATCCTTCTGGTCAATAACCAAAAACATCTGTAATATCTTCTGCATTTCCTCTTGTCCTCCTCTCTTCCACCTGATAACTCTAAAGCCAGCTCTTCCTCTGATAATGCCAATCTCTTTGGGATGTAATATCCCTTATCTTATAGGCAGATTTATTTTTGTAAATGGGATGATTACATTTGATTTACATACTCTATCGCCCTCTGTAACTTTCCACTAGCTATGAGGTAGCATGTTCAGAGCAAGTGATAAGGTGTACCCACGGGAAGTCATGTCACTTAGTGCTGAGCTATGGCATTAGGTAGCCGGTTGTCTGGCCACCTCTTGCGGCAATTGTTTGATTTCCTTGACGAGAGGAAGACGTTATTGAGAGCCATCGTGGATGGGTCCGTATATTACCGTTCTCCCTTGACGGGTATTACAGGCATTGTCACTCAACACTTCACACCAACCGGACGTATTTAGAAGAGCTATTTAATATAGCCTCCGTCCTCATTTTAACACTCATAGCTACAGTGATTAAGTTACAGTGATATACACTTGGAACTGTATATGAAATAGTTTCTCAATAAATACAGAACGGACAGTTGGGTTTCACCACTAAAACCCTATATACTTTTACATGTTCCAGCCCCATTAACCCAGAAAGAATCAACTGTTAAATGGCCAGTTCAGGCACCTTATTCTCCTCTAACTCCACCTTAGACGATTCCAACTCTATCCCTCCTACTCCTGCTCCTCCTACTGAACCTATGAACTTTCCTATATTCTCCACTCGTAGAGTTGCTGGTGTGTTATCCAGGTTGGATGTGAGTAAGGCGCATGGACCGGATGGAATACCCCTCGTGTTCTGAGGGAGTGTGCTGAAACTCTAGCCCCTGTGCTTGCTCGCCCCTTTTGCCTTTGCCTCAAAACCCAAACTTTTCTTCCTCTTGGAAACATGCCCTGGTTCAGCCCATCCCGAAGAAGGGTGACCATTCCAATCCCTCTTACTATCGCCCCATTGCCCAAGCTTCATCCCTTTCTAAGATTTTCGAAAAATCTTAAACTCTCATTTTCTCCATCACCTTGAATGCCTTTCTCTTTTGTCGGATCACCAGTATGGCTTTCACCAGGCGAGATCTAATGGTGATCTGGTCTCTAACTGAACCCATCTTTGGTCATCCTCTCTTGGGGAAACTTTCGTCATAGCCCTTGACATCTCCAAAGCATTTGACAGGGTATGGCACAAGTCTTTGCTTTCTAAACT